GAAAGAAACACCACATATTTAAAACATGATCGGCTTGGTCTGACTTCATTTTGGGTGGTGCAAACCATTGTCTGTTTTTTCCCAACTCGGGAAAACTAAGCACTGCGGTTAACCTTGGGAGACTCACTACCTACTCCCCTCCCGCATTTATAGATTGTTCCATTCTTACGTAGTTTCCTCTTCCAAAGAAATGTGGATTCATTGTTCCCCTATTACACCATTCAGCTTTTTCCAGTTAAATTTCAACTCTTTCAGAGATGGCTTTTTTCTTCTTAATTTCCAGAGCTAAGTACCACCATGCCGAGGTTGGTCAGCATCGGATACAGCTGGGACTTGTCTGACATAAACACAGATGCCGAATACATGGAGAACAGGACTCAAGTTGCCAAGGGCCTTTCTAAGATCTTTGCGCATTTTTAAGCCTTAGTAATATAGGTTGTAGGACTGTTAGAAATAACCCTCAATTGGCTTTTCAAATGCCATTTATTACGTTTAAAATAACTACATTAGGTAAGCATAGATGATTTTTTTTTCTCCTCAGAATCCATGACAGAGAAAAAAAGGCTTTCATGGATGATACGGTAAACTGTGTCCTCTGGTTAGCAGGGCTGAAGTCTGTATCAGTTGTGAGAAAAGAATTCAATTTGTGTTTTAACGCCATCACAGTTGCAGCCTAATTGTTAAACTTTGAAAGTTAAACGTTTAAAAGCTGCTCAAGAATTTTATGATATCTGAATTTTTAAAAAAAATAAACGCATGTTCACCTTTTTCAGAATTATATTGGAATAATCACTTTAAAAAAAGTAAGTGCAAAAGTTGTATTGAATATAACCCTTATACCTTGTTTCTCTCACAGTCGCAGCCTAATTCTTAAACTTTGAAAGTTAAATGTTTAAAAGCCACTCAAGGATTTTATGATATCTGAATTTTTAAAAAAATAAAAGCATGTTCACCTTTTTCAGAATTATATTGGAATAATCACTTTAAAAAAAGTAAGTGCAAAAGTTGTATTGAATATAACCCAGGTAAAGAAGAGCTCATTGAAGTAGCTGGGACCCCGAGCCAGAGATGTTGGGTAATTCTCTCTGCTGTTCTCCGAGACTGTTCCTGGCACTGTCATGCCTTTCCCGCTTGCCTCATCTCTACAGTTGATCTTGCGAATCACTCACACCATTCAGGAACCAGCTTAACACCCAGCAAACACCCAGACCTGTTCCATACTCCATTGGAACTTGAGTTGGGTGACAATAGGGGGGAGCTTTGGAAAATTAGGACTGAATTTTGCTTTCTCTTCCAAGTCAATGAACTGCAGGACCCGAGTTGGGCATAGAATAAGGGTCTCCTAACAGGAATGGTGCACCCTGACTCCAGGAGGTATGTGCTGTTGGGCACTGCCTAAGTCTCCAGCCTCGGCTCACTCAGTCAGCCCGTGAGTTCTTTTCTCAGTAGTTCTTCACACTCTCAGAGTAACTGATATTCAACAGCCCTGAGTTCTAATTCCAACTCTACACTTGTCAGCTATGTGACCTTAGTCACTTTCTGAGCTTCCATTCTCTTTTCTGTAAAATAATGAAAATAGGAACCCTCACTCCTGGGTTTGTTGTGAGGATTAATTATATGATACATGGAGAGCTCTTCCTACGGTGCCTGGCCTACCGCGAGAGTCCAAAAACCATTTGCAGTTATTATAATAATCAATATGCATCTGGCAAAGAGTCCAGTTGCTTTGGGGTGAAAAATCATTAAAGTCATAGATTCTCTCATTTTGACACAAAACATCTATTCATATTGATAGCAGAGTATTTCTCAGGACAAAAATTCACTTCTTTTAGTTAATCTTGAACACAGAATCAGATTCTAATGTCCATGTAGAGTTGGAATACTGCAGCTTCCAGTTCAAAACAAAAGTTCTCACTAATCAAGGCAGCTTAGAAATCTGCTAGTCCTCTCCGCAGAGCTCTCATCAGCTCTTTCTCTGAAATGGCTCTGGAACCTGTTCCTACGCCCTGCACTGCTTTCACAATCTACCCAGTGAGCCTTTCCAGGCTCACCTGCTGTAACTTCATGAAATCCATTATTACACATTACATGGCCTGGTCCCCCAAACACCCTGCTCTTTCAATCCTTCTGTCTTTGCAAAATTGGCTGCTACTATCTGTGGAATGACCGACATTTATCCCCCTTCCATGTACAAAGCCTCTATTCAAATGTCACCTCACAAGAGGAATACTTTTGAAGTCAGAAGAACCTGGGTCTGAATCCTGGCTCTGCTGTGTCCTGGTTCAATGACCTTGAGCAATAACTTTCAGTTTTCTCATCTGCAGGTAGCCCAAAGCGCTCCACCATACTGGGAATAAAAGTCTGGGCATTTAACACAAATCCAAACTTCTCACCGGCTTGACCACCCTGTTTCTCCCGTGGTCAGTTTAAAGGTGGTTTAGTTGCGTTATGTTTACAGTATTTGTTTGTTTAACAGATTTTCTCTCCCCAAGGATTTTTGGGAACTGCTAAGAAAGACTGATGAACACTGACTCTAAATCCAGACCCTTTCTTGTCCCCCTTACACCACCCCACCCCACCCCAGGCCTTTTATTCGATAGTCAGGAAATTAGATTGTTGTGTTTATCAAAAATAGGAGGGTGAGTTAAAACCGATTCCCCATGGTCTGGGCAGGTCACACATGATATTGCCAGACATGGGCCTGGCGATATGCAGTTTTAGAAACTACCAATGCAGTGCTGATACAGCCATCGGGTTCCAGTGAGTGGACTCATCTTTGACTTGAGTAATCCATCAGGGCTCAGTTAAGGCTTTTCTAAACCCATTGGTCCATTGTTACAAGGGATGTAGAAAGAGAGTAGTATGGCAACATCTTAGCCAATGGGATCTATCAGTGGAGGGATATGTTAAGCAGAGATGCATGGGGTGGGATGGCACAGAAAGCAAAAGCTAATGTTGAATTCAGATAACAGGGAGGAATATGGAGTATGACCTGAATAATGAAGAAGAGGGAAACTCCAGAATCGGGGCTTTGAGGGACAAGGACAGTAAGGCAGGCAGACAGGAAGGAAGCCTGAGGAAGCCAGGCAGCAATTCAGGAAAGGCTGCACAGAGGTTCAGCCCTGGGGATTTCCAACACACAGGACAGGAGAGATTTCATAGCCAGAGTGATAAGTGGTTCCAGCCTGAGTGCGTGGTGGAGGGGTGGTGTGTCAAGGCTGGGCTCCTCTTCTGTTTCAATAAGGAAAGTTGTGGGTGCCACCCAGGAGATAGAAAAGAAGGCAAGTGGCACAGGGCCAGTGCCAGCCAGCGTGGATGTCTCACCCTAAGAGCTCCAGGATAGTCCAAGTAAATTGAAGAAGAGCAAAATCAAAGAATGTCACTCAAGGAAATTATCTATTTAAATTAAAAAAAATTGATACTGATGATATTTGCCACTTTTTCACTAGATGTCTTTAAGTGAAGAAAAATATATCAAAATCAGGCTGTTCCCAGGCCTTTGCTTCTGGGCAGAGGGCTGGGAGTGAGTCCCTGCAGGCACACATTCAACCAGATGAGTGCTCTCTAATGGAATAAGAATCAAGAACCCAGGTGCAGGCAAAGCAGTGCCCTGACACAGGCAAAGACCAGCCCCAGGATGTCAGGAGAGACACACATGAGTTGGCAGTATTATTAAAGGGGAAGAGTCTTAAGTGTGAAGATCAGATCCTACTCTGAACTCCATGATGGTACATTACACGTGCCGTTGATACTCCTCAAGCCTCTGCTGGCCCACTGGATTTCTCAGCACCTTGTTGATTACTCTGTGGCTCTCACCGGGGCATGGGGGAACCTCTGGGTTTCTGTATGCCTTGCCCAGACCATGGGGAATCAGAAGCATCATAACAGACCCATCAGCCTAGACCAGCCGTGGGCAAACTACGGCCCGTTTGAAATGAATAAAACTAAAAAAGAAAAAAGACCGTACCCTTTTATGTAATGATGTTTACTTTGAATTTATGTTAGTTCACACAAACACTCCATCCATGCTTTTGTTCCGGCCCTCCGGTCCAGTTTAAGAACCCATTGTGGCCCTCGAGTCAAAAAGTTTGCCCACCCCTGGCCTAGACTCTATACCAATGCTCTCAGTCCTAAAATGCACTGGATGTGACACGGAGCCACATGTGGGGCTTCCTCTAGAGACGTGGAACCACCCATGGCCATGCTTGGAGAAATAGGCCACTAAGCCTGATATTCTCTAGTTTGCTTTTTCCAAACTGGATGCTTCAATAGCTCTCCCATCCCAATCTCCATTTGAGGTTTTGTCCTGTAGCAGAAACTGGTTCATTTCCTTCTAATGAACCCCAATTCTGTCAGGTGTCCATGTACTCCGAAAAAGATGCCCTCACTCTCAGAATGACCTCACTCCCAGACCCAGGAATAGGTCTGACCGATATAACAAAAATCTCATTTTTTCTTGTCTCATTTGTTCAGAAGTGGTTACGGGACCTCATTCCTGCCAAAGAAACATGAGCACTTCTTGGGAAAACATGAGGGGAAATCTGAGCACTTCTTGGGAAACTTTCAATCTTCGAAGACAGAGCTGCAGGAAGAGAGTCTGCCCCGGCCTCTGCAGATTGCCATGTATGGGTATTCTGCCCCAGATTGCTGTGGCCATCTTGCTGCCGGCAGGAGGAGGAAGCCGACATCAAAGGTGAGGGAGAGGAGCGATGGGGAGGACACGGTCTTCTAAGACATCACTGAGCAACTGAGTCAACTGCTTCCAAAGTCCTGAACTTCCAATTATGTGAATAGTAAACTTCTTCATTGTTTAAAGCAATGAGTCAGGGTTTCTCTCCCTTGTAACTGAAAGCGTTCTAATTGTTAAAAGTTCCAAAAGGAAAGGGAAGCATCTGAACAGATCTTTTTTATTCTTTTCCCAAACCCCCAAAGAATGGAAGGGTGGTTTCCGTGTGCTATTCCAGTCTCCTGGGACTTCCCCCAGCATGGCTTCCCCCTTCCTGAATTGGTGTTTCTTCCTCCGTGTAGCCTGTAGTACATGCACTGTGTTTAGGACTTCTATTTAATTGATGTGAATGTAAACAGAAGAATTTGTTTGATGCAGCATGATATAGGAAAGGGAAGAAGAGGGAAGTAAAGGTTATGGATGAAAACTATGAACATTGTAGAAAATACTTAAAATGTTTTACATGCAGGCGTGGTCATGGCACACTTACCTACAGTACAAATCCATGTCACCTTTCAAACCTAGTGACATCTAGGAACCTGTACAGTAGCCAATAGCAACTAGCTATTTGTCCCAGCCACTAGACACATATAACTATTTAAATTTTTAATTAAAATTAAATTGAATTAAAAATTCCTTCACATTACCCACATTTCAATTCTCAGTAGTCACAGGTGGCGACCATATTGGACAGGACAGATAGAGAACATTTCTATTATTCCAAAAGTTCTACAGGACAGCAATGCCATTAAGGTGTCTCTTAGTCAAACTGAAGTGATAACCAGAGGCTTCGGAAGTATGAGAGAGGGATGGCACAGTGGCAAGGACACAGTTTTGTGGCAAATCCTGGCTCTACTATTTCCCTAACCTCTATGAATCTTAGTTTCTTCACAGTCAAAATGGAGATAACAGTATTTACCTTGTAGGAGTGTTACAAGGACTAGAATTGATGTATATGGAAGACCTAGTAAGGGTCTTATCACACTGCAGATGATCAATAACAGTAAGTATTACCTGTTTCCTTCCTTGGGAATGAGTCACACAAAATTTTGTTTTGTCCATACGACCCTCTATACCGTTGACATTCAAAGTGTGGTTCACAGACCAGCATCATCGGCATCACCCTGGAAATCATTAGAATACAGACTGTCAGGCCTCACCCCAGAGCTACTGAGTCAGAATTCACATTTTAACGAGATCACCAGGTAATGATTTGTCCACACATTAAAAGTTGGGAAACACTGATATATTCAACATGGCAGGCAAAAATTCAAAATATGCAAACTATGTGATGCACAAAAAGAATGTGGATAACACACTAGGGAACCCTAACCATAACTGAGCTGCCTGTCTGAAGAACGTGTGAGAACCTAGTGGTTGAGCCCAGCAACAATGAGACAAGAAGAAGCAGTCAGGACACAGGGCTCTTGCACCATCTTAGCAAGATAACTCTGCAAGCAGCCAAATCTCCCAGTTCTCTAGGTGAGTGATCTGGTGACATCTGGTAAGTTATTGCTGCTTAATAAATTACTTACAGAAATTAAAAAAAAACACACACAAAAAAAAATACCACAACAATAATCATTCTCTCTCACAGTAAAAAAAAAAACACAAAAAAATACCACAACAATAATCATTCTCTCTCACAGTTCCTACGGGCCAGAATTCAGACACGGCACCTGAGATCTGGGGCCTCAGCTGGAAGACTTGCGTGATGGGGACTAGAATCATCTGAAGGCTCCTTCAATCACATGTCTGGTAGTGATGTGGCAGTCAGTGGGGGCCTAGTTAGCATTGTCAGCTGAAACACCCACCAATGGCCTCTCCATGTGGGCTATCTTCCTCAGAATATAGTAGCTAGGCTCCAAGGACAATCAGAGAGGGATGAGGGAACAAAGGATGGAAGAAAGAGGAGCGGGTGGGGGGAGAGAAAAGGGAGAGAGAGGGAGAGAGCGATCCATAGAAGCCATAGAGCATTTTATGACCTAGCTTTGGAAGTCATGCAGCATCACTGCTGCCACATTCTGTTGGTCAAGATAGTTACAAAGGTTGAGGGAGAGGAAGCATAGACCCAAGGTGTGTCACGGTCATACTTGACATAATAGAGGTATGTCAAGGTCACATTGTAAGTACACCTTGTGGGAAGAGATATTTTTGTGATGGCCATATAATTAAGGTCATCTTGTTATGGCCATCATTGGAAAACCAAATCTTCCCCATGAATATTCTTTTTGGTTCAAGTTATTCCAGATCTCAAATCATCATGCTCACTATCATCATCATAAACAAGTTCTTATGTAATGTCTTCCTTGTAGAGAAAACCATATTCTAATTCTTATTTATTTATAACAAGAGTTATAAGATGTTCATTTCCCTTTAGTTACCTTGTTCTTGGGAATTCTTTCATAATTTTTTCCAGAAAAAATAGCCTCACAGCTAGTTTCACTTTCCATTCTGTCTTGTTCTTTTGCATTATTTCATTATATTCAAACTCTTTGAATGTGCCATCAAAGAACTTTTAAAATAAAGTGAGAATAAGTGGAATAGGTAAAGGTAATAGCTCATTCACTGGTACTAATTTCCCAAATAGTTTTTTGGTTGCTGAACAGCTTGAGTTTCATTGCTAATGGCAAATAAAATAGTTATAGTAAAATGTGCCCATGAATTAAATTTTTGATTTCCATTTTTTTGTAGCTATCTAACCACCTTGTATTTTCAGACTAAAACTTTTCTCAGTGTATTTTCATTTTCATAATAAAACTTTCTGGGCAAGATTGATCTCAATCTGGTGATTCTTATATTAGAGTAAAATTAAGAAAGGGAGAGGAAGAGATCGTTTTCTTCATATAACAAAATAGAAAATACTAGTATTTGCTTCTCGTTTAAAATATCAAAGGCAAAACTACTATTGGATCTGACCTAAATAATTTATCCTAAATAATGGAGGAAGAGAGACATCAAGCAACTGGATATAGACTTGGCACAGACTTTTAGGTTTCTAATTTTGCACAACCTTCTGTGGTTCCTTCCCCCAGAAAATTACATTCTAACTTCTTATGGTTAAATGGTCTGCCCCTGTGATGTTCCCTTTTCCCCACATACCTCCTAGCTGCTGTTAACATCTCAGGGTTCCCATTATTTCCTTCTCCTAAAAATTTCACACACACACATGCATACACAATCATTCACCATATATGTACACATTCACTGACACACAAAAACTCATAAGTACACAGATACATACACACATACATGTATTCATATGCACATGGTCACTCATACATAGTCACTCCCAAACATGAGCGCGTGTGCACACACACACCAGCCTATTAGTACAATCCACCTTCTAACTTTGACCACATAAATAACCACTTGCTCATCTCTTCCCTCCCCTGACCAGGAGGAAAACCTCACATCATCATTGGAAGATACCTAACCTTTTGGGATCTACATGACAACAGCAACATTCACATTAAAAATTCACTCCCCAAGGTCACCCCGGGTCCTGAACTCCAGTGCCAGCAGTACATGATTCTACCCCCATTCTTTTCTGGTAATCAAGATTCTCAGAAAGAGTAAAATTTGCATAGAGTTAACCCTGAATATGTTTTATTTTTTATTTTCACAAAATTCTGTAACATGAGTACTATGGATTGAATTGTGCCACCAAAAAGACATATTGAAATCCTAACCCCCAGTAAATGTGACCTTTGCCAATAAAGTTTTTGCAGTTGCAATCAAGTTAAGGTGAGATTGTTAGAGGGGAGCCTAATCCAACGTGACTGATGTCTGTAAAGGGAGAGAAGAGGTACAGAGACACACAGGGAGAACACCATGTAACAACAGAGATTGGAGGGATGCAGCTGCAAGTCAAGGAGCAAGGGTGATTGGCCACCCCCAGGAGCTGGGCAGCAGCAAGGAATGACTCTCCAGTGTCAGAGGAAACATGGTTCTCCTGACACCTTGCCTCTTGACTGCTAGACTCCAGAACTGGGAGAGAATACATTTCCTATTGTTTTAAGCCACCCAGTTTGTGGTACTTTGTATGGAAGACTAATACCATAGTATTCAATAAATTACTCCTAATGGACCTCATGACAGAGAAGACAAGCTGGCATGTTGTTAGCCAGAACAACAAGAGGAGAGAACCTGAGAGGCAGACGAGGTGGGAGCCTGTAGCCTGGTTGTCCTAGTCTGCTTGGGCTGCTACAACAGAATCTGAAAGACCGGGTGGCTTATAAACAATGGAAATTTATTTCTTATAGTTCTGGAGGCTGGGAAGTCCAAGAGCAAGGCACCAGCAGATTCAGCCTCCGGTGAGGACCCACTTCCCAGGCCATAGATGGCTCTATGAACTCACATAGCAGAAGGGGGAAGAGATTCTCTGAGGTCTTTCCAGTTTGTGAGGCCTCCACTGTCATGTCCTAAGCATTTCCCAAAGGTCCACCTCCAAATACATTTGGATTTAACATAAATTTGGCGGGGGGGTGGCGGGGGGCAGGGGGGAGACACAATTATTTAGTCTGTAGCGCTGGTCAGCATTAAGTAACTACTTTAAAGACAATAAAGCTCTAACATTTTATGCAACTACTTTAGAGACCATTTCAGTTCTTTTAAGCCATTTAAGATGCAGACATGATCTGTTGCTCATAAAAAGGTAAGTGCTTATCCCTATGCACATTTGCAATATATTAATGTAAGTCTTAGGTATAATTGTGTATCTTCTGCATGTTTCTGGGTGAGCACTAGCCCACAGAATGTGTTCAGGGCCAATAGTGTATGTCCTGCTTTCAACATCAGCATGGCAATGGCTGCAGTTGATGATGTACCTGGGATATGCTGAGGCTACCCCTTTATGTGAATCACTTGGAAAAGATCTGGACCAGGATCAGAAAAAGACTCCTTGGGATGTTGGGAATATAGATACCATCAAAGAACAGAAGTGCAGCTTCCAGATAAAGGATAGTGTATATTAAAAGAGGAGGGAACAGAAGTTCCTATTTATTGAATCAACTTATTTCACAGCTGTATTGTCATCTAATCCTAAAAACATCTTCAGGCATGGGTGTCATACCCATTTGTAAGGATAATTAAATTGAAGTTCAGAGAGCTTAAGTAATCTGCTCAAAGTCACACAACTAGGAAGTAGAGCCAGGATCTGAATCTAGTTATGTCTGACTCCTAATTTATAGTGAGAAACTCAAACCCTTTAGAAAAGCTTTTCAGATATATTCTAATCAAGGAAAGGAGCTAGATTCTTTTATTACCAGCTTTATATTGTAGTGTTTTATATTGCATATCTTACTTTGATATTAAGAAGGCTAGACCAGCATGCATTGTTAAAATGACTCCCTGAGAGAGGGGATTTAAGAAATTACCATGGCAATTTTCTCTCCATAATAATAGAACCGCTGGTTTTTAGCCAATATTATGGCCTTGTGTCTTGGTTTCCTTTCTAGCTAGAGGTGGCCGTGTGTCTAATTGTCATCCAATGGAAAATAGATGGAACTGTGACACAGTTTCAGAAAACTTTCTCAGAGAAATTTGAAGCATGCCCTTTTCCCATTGCTTCTCCATCCCTTCTTTCTTTCTGCTGCTTGGAACTTGAATTAGATGGCTTGAACACTAATGACTATCTTGGACCCTGAGGACAAAGGCATCAATCTAGAGATAACAGACAAGTGAGTTGAAAAGTCCAAGTCTCTGAGGACTTTGTGAAGCAGAGTGGCCATTCAGTCCTGGACTGCTCACATCCCACCTGTATATAAGACAGAAATCAATGTCTATCTTGTTTAAGATACTATAATTTGATTCTTTGTTACTTGCAGCCAATGCTAATTCTAACTGATTTGGGTTCATCATAGAGACAAGAATTCTGTCCCTTAAAAAAATAAAAGGATATCTCTCGTTCTCTATATTTCCTACCTGGGTATCTTAATGGACTTCCCTTCCCCCCACAAAAGCCCAGAACCTTCAAGTCAAGTATTGAGTACTCAGTTCCCCTGTATTGCCAATAAAGTCAACACAACTTAAGCTTGAAAATTTTCTCCATTTCATTATTCTTCTTAGTTGGTGCTACCTTTACCTGCATATGTTCTATAATCTGGTCTGTCAAACTCCTATC